GCCGAGGGGGCGGAGTTTGTGGCCGAGGGGCGGGGCCTGGGAGTGCTGCGTGTGCGGTGCTGCCTCGCGGGGCTCCCCGTTTTCCACCCGTTTCTCAAGATTTACAAAGCACCCAGCGGACGCAGCCCGTGTGCATGTGAAATCCTGCATGGCTGAAGCTTTTCTTCCTTTTCCTAGAGACGGAGAGCGATCCAGACCTGAGCCCAGGACCCCACAAGGAAGTGACTGTCACCAACACACCGTTTGGCCTCCAGATCACCACCGTGGTCACCTACCAGGAGAAGCCCGAAACGCCCCTGGCTCGCCTGGCCTATCGGCTGAGGACGTACTTTAAGTCCCATTTTGGGGGTCCTTCTGAAAGTTAGTGTCAGGAAGCCAGGAATTCTGTGGCAGATCGAGGCCGTTCATCGTGATGCCCCATAGCAGGATGGGCTGGAAAACTCTTGCGTTGTTGGAACAAGAGATCCATGTCTGAAGTAACCTTGCAAAGCTTAGTGCACCTTCTCATCTGCTCAGATCAATGATTTTTGGCGCATGTGTATTCAGGTTATTAAACCCAAACTGTCCTCAGCTCAACACACTGTGAGGTGTTAGTGAAACTGCATTGCTGCTTCGTGTCCAGCGTCAGCAGAGGCTGCGTTTCGCTGGCCTGGATTTGGTGGCATGCCAGGACCTACGTGGGGACCTGGTCCTCTGCCGATTCGGTAAACTGGTGAACTGGAGGGAGCGTAGTTTGTCCTTTGGGGTAGGAGAGTTGTGTTGTCCTTCAGATCTTTACAAGGCAAATGACTTCGGTGAAATGTGAACTGCAGAGGTAGAGATGCTGTTGCTGGAAGCACTTGCATTGCAAAGGCGGTGAAGCTGCTAATTTCTCTGACATTTTAAGAACACAGCTAACCTATCTGTGAATGTGTTTAGTTCCCATAAAAGATGTTCATTCCCTTGCAAGCCTGGAGCATTTTCCGAAATACATCAAAAACTCTTTGCACTTTTTTTTTCCTTGTCTTTGTAACACCTAGTCCTAAGAACCATAAAAGGTCCTGAGTATCAATGAGTAATTTAAGAATTCTGTGGCTGAAATAACCTTTCAGATGACAACTTATCTTAAGACAAAAGTTTTCACTAGTGACTCCCAATGGATTTTATAAGGCAACCCCTGTAACTGCCACTGCTTCCTTTTCCTTAGCTGCTTCCTCTTCCAGATGTTACTGCTGTGAACTGGTGGCAGCTTCTGACAGGGAACCCAAGCTAGTTAGCTGGGTAGAGCTTAAAAGCTTCATGCCTCACTCCCAGCTTTTGAGGTTAACAAGTCTCACTGAATCTCTGTTTACCAGTCTGTGGTAGCGGTCTAGTGGCAAAAGTGATGCAGGACTGTTAACAGTCCTAGCGCTTTGTAATTAAGAGAACATATCACAAACATAAACTTTATTTTTAGATTTTTTTTTCGGTATTAACTGAGTCTTTGGACAAGTGTCCGCACATTTTCTGCAGTCCTTATGTTCTGGACTATGACTGCAGTTCTCAGGCTGAGGGGTACCTCAGGCTGGTACCCCTTTTATTTGGTCAAACATCCCTGCTTTGCTTTGGGGCTTATTTTGTATTTTAAGGGAGAAGCAGACCAAAGATTTTCCATTATGCTCTTAAGCAAACAAATTAAAAAAAAAACCTTTCTGTTTTCTGTGCTAAAACAGCACATTCCTCGGGGAAAACCTGGGCCCTGGGTAAAGCACTACTGTTTCCTGCTGCAAAGCATCATTCAGCTAAAGGCTGCTCATTTTTAGAGGAAGTGAACTTGTCTTCTGAGCAGCTGCGGAGACAATACGATTGCGCTCTAATACCTTAGTATATATAAAAGACAACAGTAAGTGCAACAACTTAGAGGTGAATTCAGCTCTCTCCCCTTTCATGAGCCATCCCTGTAGACATTCCCCTTTCCCCCATGTCTGCTGACCCTCATTTTATTACAGGGGCTCCCCCATATCCTTAAGAATACTGTGTCCTTTTATAAGAGGTTGCACCCTGGTCCTTATACATGCTGGCAGCCTGATGGGATGCTGCCCCCACAGCTGTACCTGCTAAGCCTCATTTCTGTAGGTGTCCCCTCCATCACCCCCTTTTACCGTGGGGCCCGGGAGCAGCCTCCGCGCGTGCAGGGGCTTTCCCTGCCCCTCGAGTCCATAGCCCTTTTCTATAGGGCCTCTGCAGATGCCGCCCCCAGCCTCTCTATCTGCAGATGCTCATTTATTTGGGGCCTTTTGTAGGACACTGCCCCCGGCCCGTCCTGCAGTCCCACCTTTCTGCCTTTCCCTGCCCCACACACGTCTCTATAGGGCTTCCCCTGCCCCCAGAACACCTTCATGTTTCTATAGGGTTTGCCCTACCCTCCCAAGCGCCTCCCTTTATTTCTGTAGGTTTTCCCCTACCCCACAGCACACTTCCCTCTCCCCCTCATATCTATAGGGCTTCCCCTAACCCCTACAGACACCCCCATGTTAGGATGCCCCCCACCCCCGTTCTTAGAGGCTTCCCCTGCCCTTACAGACACCTGCTCGTTTCCATAGGGCTTCCGCTGCCCTCACGGAACCCCCTGTCTCTATAGGGCTCCCCCTCCGGTGTC